ATTATTAGCATGAAAAATATTAGTCGTGGAAAACCTTTTTGTGGGATGAAATAAAAGTTGTAAGAACAGGAAACAAAAAAAAATACAGATAAAATCATAATTCATTTAAGCAATTAGATATGTGACAGTGGTCGAAGTCTTCCTTGATATCATATCAAACTGCATTAATCAGGTCGACACAAATTTTTAAAGAAATTTAAATAAAAAAAACCTCACTATTTCATATTTTTTGTTGAGTAATTGTCGACACAAATTGCATTGGGTCGGTGGTTACGAAGTGTAACTATATCGAAAAGAGGGAAAAGGAGAAAAAAAGTGTTAAGTAACTTGGAGAATCCAGCCATGGAGTCCTCCCATGGATCAAGTAACAACAGGCAGTAAAGATACTTACCTTTTGGATCTTTTGGTCCATTTCTACCTCACGCCTAAGATGCTTACATGTAGTAAACATTTCCATTTCACTTTGTTTTATTCTATTGTCTGCTTCTTAGGGTACAAATTTGATTGCTCTAGTCTATTGTCTTCTAATCCTTATCACTTGATTTGTGATTGAGCCCATTAACTACAAAATAATTATATACTTATAATATTATCACTCACGTGACTTCAAACAAACCGCGTATAATAAAAGAATTAAGTTAAAGCCAATTTCCATCACATCTACAAGAGGTATGTACGCCCTAGGAATCCCTAACTAAAGTCCAAGAATAATGGGATCATATATATGCTGGATAGCACAAAGATTTGAGCACATTTATCACTTAATAATCCCTTTCAAAAGGTACAAACTAAGAAACGGTTGAGAATCCAGCAGCCAATTGAATATAAAATATTTGCCAATGGGTTGTGACCACAAGAGAAAAAACAAAGATATTGAAGTACTTTAAAACAGTCGAACATCGATCAGAATGTTTGTCGAAGCAGGCAATGTGTGGTTGAACCTATAGTGAGTGAATTGACTCGGCAGTCCGCCGACAAAGGGTCACCTGCAGGTGTCTGCATGATAATTGACATTTACCAACTGAAATAGAATGGTATCATGCAAAAGAATTATGGAAGAAAATTTACATCTTTAAGCAAGGGTTTGATCATAGCACCAAAAGCATGTACATTTTTCATGAGAGAGCAAATCAATAGATAGAATTGCTGAACTAATAATACTAGCATTTTAATTTCAAAAGAGAATCTTGGCACCAATCACATGTGGAATGTAGGGCAGGGTATGTCTCCTCTTTGAATTAAGCCTCATGTTTTCTTGCTGCCTGGAAGTTAGCGAAAAGAGCATAAAATTGTCTGATAAAGATCAAGTATTTTAGAGGGGGGAAAAAATAAATAAAAATAAAAATAAAAACCCCTGTCGTAAAATTTAAAGAAAGGCATTAGTCTCTGCCACCTTTTAATCACATCAAATATCCTTCGAGATTTGATTCTCCGGCCTTGTTTTTCAAAAGAGATGGTCTTCCAAAGCTAAACCTTTAATCCATCCACAAATTAAAATTATTCTATGTGCCCCCATTTTGATCTAAGATGTAACACCTTGCCCGCACAGTCCGACCCCACCGCACCTAACATGATCAGCTCACTAATTTTCCATCTGTATTTGTGAATTAGCTGTCCCAACTATGATTATCAGAAGAAGAATTATGAACGATCGACGGCAATCCTGGCTTCCCAAAGTCCTTTACCAACAACCAATTTTTGCCCCGGAGATTGTACTTGGCTTCTATGCCGACTAGCAAGAACAGCTGCTGTTAAGGCCATGTCGGCATACCCCTCCTCTCCGTTACGCACCACTTTCATTTGTGGTTTGTGACGTAAGGGATAATGTTTTTCTTCCATGAGTGACTTGTAATTGCCAGTGAATTGATTCATAATCAAATACAGGCTTGCTTAATTACTTGACAGATCTAATTTATTTCAAGTGTATTGACAGCTTGGGTCCTTTTTTTTCCTTTGTCCTATTTGATGAAAAAATATAAAAGTGGTTGACTCGGTAACAAACCTTTCAAAATAATTAAAAGGGAATATGAACACAAATTTCTTCTCTTACAGTGACAACACATATGGGTTATGGGTGTATGCCTTTTGGTGGAACCTTTTGCCTGGGAAAAAAAAAAGTTGATGGGAGGATACCACCCAAATTCTCACCATCGACACCATTTGGAGGAGTCGCTGGCGACAAAGAACCCATAAAATGTTATCGGTCTCGCTCTCCTTTATCCCATGCCTTACCCTCCTTGTTCTTTTGATTTTGTACAATGGAATCTGTTTTTATTGCCGCGTAGGGAAAAGACTTTACAATCAGAGCAAGAAGAATCTAGTAAAGGGCTTCTTGGATATTGACTTTAACTAGTATTATGTTGTTCAACTGTTGATTAAACTCAACAGGTGTGCTTGCATTGGCATTATTACAATCTTTGCTTTAATTCACCGAATTGGCATTCTTGATTTCAGTGGCAGCTGTTCGGATTGTAGTGTACAGCGAAAAGAATCAATTTCAATTGTTAAAACAAGGAGAATTTCATAAAGGTGATTGAAGTTTGACTTCAACTACTTTTTCCTGATAATTAAATTATAGTTTCATATCACAAACCCCAACAGGCAAAAGCCAAGAAAAGTAATACACGGTTTTGGCATGATGATCAGCATAAAAAAAAAAAAGACAAAAAGAAAAGAAAAACTGGAATTGGAAATCATACCATTGATGTTAATCCATGAAAATATTGTTGCTGCAGAAGAGTGATGGAGCTAGCTACTTGAAAAATAGGTGGGGATGTTCATATATAGGCTACTTGAAATTTAAAGGCACTGATCCTCAAATCAATAGTGCAGCTCTCAATGGACCTAATCAATATCTGCAAAAGTGTCCCACTCGAAAATTTTTACACTTAATTGCAAAATCAATTATACAGTTAATCAGAACCTAGTCATCCAATATACCAAAAAGAAAAAGCTGGTGTCACCCAACCAGTCGTACTGTTGATAATTAAGTTCCTCATTTTTCAATGTTATCTTTGAAGTGATTTTTTAATATATATTCTAAGGAATTTGAACAATCCGCTATGTCATCTTAGTCAATGAGTTCTCATAGTAGAATGATAATTATTCTTAATTAAGAAAGTTGGCCTGGCTTCCACACCCTCGCTTCAAAATACAAGTTTGGGACAAACGCAGAGTCAAGGGAGAGGTGTGGGGTGGCAGCTGTCACTCATCAATTTTTTCAATTTCCTTTATTGTTATAGGTATAAATCTATATATAGTATTATTATCTTTATAATTACTCTTTAGTCACCTACATTCAAAATCCTAGATTCGTTACTGGCTTGGATGTTGTCAACAAATTTGCACAGAAAGAAGTGAGGACGAAATTAACAACAGTTATGTAGGGGGTTTTCAAGCTTGAGATTAAATTTCTGCAAATTAGGGTGCAATTAGAATTAGAGAGACAAATTCCAAGCTTAGGATTTAATTTAATTTCTTATCATGTTTAGGATTTAACCATAGCTAATAAATACAGTAACCTCTGGCCAAAATAAATAAATGGAGTAAACATATACCAAAATGACGGCAGATAAATGTATGTAAAGTAATATAAATTGAATCATTTAAGTTGGACTACAGTCCACACCCAGAATAGTTAAACAGCATACTAGCTAGTGCAGAAAAGTGTAACATCTTTTCTAAATGCAAAAGTCCAGCAAAAAAGAGTATTCTTGTTTGAATAAATGTCGAGAATAAGCATGCATGGGGGAAACAATTTTGGAGAAGCCCGAGGCCTAATCCATGATTAAGGAATACTGTCTATTCCTTTTTCTCTTCTCATGTGTCTTCATCTTCTTCAAGATGTTTGAGAGGGAAAACGGGGCTGATATTCAAAGATGTGAACACATTCGCTTAGGCCTTTTGTATCAAATCAAACAGAGAAAATTCTTTTTGTGAAAATTGAAAGAAAAAAAAATTGAAGAAAAAGTGTTGAGACTTTTTTGAGACGTTGTACGACAAATTAAACGTTGTCGGGTCGGATTATATATATGAAGATGGGAAAAGAAAAAGTACGTAGTTAAACCCTATTTCGTATCCCCTGGTTGGTGGCATGGCCTAGAATCCCGCTGCTCGTTTGCATTGCCCTTCACTTGCATTAAACACGCAACCGTTTTTAAAGATCATTGATTCATTGGATCAATACAAATGGGACAGCTTGTTTTACCAGCTAACCATGAGGGACCCATTTCTACGAGAGCTTATGGTGGTCTGGGAATGAGGAATCATTCATTTTTTTTATTAAAATTTCAACTTTCAACAATATCATTAGAACATTCTCCCTTCTCTCGACAAACCTGATTGATCTCCATACAAAAAAGGGTTTAACCTACCAAGTAATCATACTCGAATACATTGGTCAAGGTTGACGGCATGGTGCCAACTAAATATTAAGTGTATTCATCAATAGTAATGATCGAATGCATTTATATAGATAGTGGTACAAAAACTTATTACCCCTTTTGGTGGTCAAGATCAATGTAACTAGTAGATATACTTTTTCTCTAAGATTAAATAAGTATTATGTATAATCTTTAAGCTAAGAAGTAATTTTGAAGTTAATTGGTCGATGATACATACCTAATGATGTACTCAAATGTAAAGACTTTTTGTTTTTTGGTTTGAAATAAGAAGATATCCCCCTTTGTCTCTCCCTTTCTTTTGAATGTTAGAAAAAGCCCACGTCGTACACCATCCTGAGAAAATGCATGGACCAGTACTCAAACCATTTCCTCACACAAACAATCCGACAAACCATGTGGCTCAGAGATAATGAGGAACATGGCCACACCTTGATCATTGAAGAAGGGAGAAGAAAAAAGTGAGAATTATTATTGCGGTTAGAAAGAGATTATCAGGTCACCTAGAGTTTGCTAGGCTTCTAGAGAACTAATTTATGGAAATGGTAGACATCTTGATTAAGTAAAGATAATGGTTGACAATGCCACACCATCCAAGAATTATAAAATGTCACTTTATTTATATCATATATGATTTATATATTCATCAAAATAACTGATGTAATAATAACCTTCTGACTTTAAGAACTAAGGTATGATTATATATAGGGTTATTCTGTTATACACTAGCATTCACCACGTGGCATAGGGGATCGGATGATGACAAGGATGATGACGATGATCTGGTGAAACTCCATAGGTCTATTTCGCTGTTATAATCCTGATGAGTTCCATGGTAAGACCTGCTGGAGGATATCGATGATGATCGAAGGGCTGGTAATTGGAGATCGTGATGATCAGTGGCGCTGCAATAGGCCATGTTGTGGTCATTGAAGCAGGCTAACTGCCTGGAGGTCTCTGTTTGGCCATTGAGCTGAGAGGCTACAAGCCGGTCAAGTGCTGCCCAGTTGGTGAGCCCTGAGTCATTGTGATAAACCGAGTTGGGATCTCCACTCAACTGGTTGGTGATTGAACCTTCATTTCCCGTTATCATGGGTTGGTAACAATTTTGGCTGCTTGTGGAGTTTGGGCTCTCTAGGCTTGGGAGTTTCATAAATGAGTCAGGGTAGCCACTGCTAATGGCTGTCTCGATGGGCCTGAGGAATCTCGTATTGTTGTTTGCTTCACTGTCTTCTTTGCAATTCCTTCCCATGTATTCAAGTATCTGCTCCAAGGCTCCTTCATTGCTCGAACTGAACATAAGGTTCCTGGTTTCTGCAGTGAGAGATGAGCTAACAGGGCTGTCTAGGGTTTTGTGGTGATTTTTCTTCTTGAAGATACGACATACCACCCATCCCTCTTCTTGTGTCCCCTCCCCCATAGCATTGGAGACCTTAATTCAAAAAGAACATTTACTATTAATATTAATTTAATGACGAAAAAAACATATGAAAGTTGTGCTGGTATTTTGTTTCTTTTCAGAACATATAAAACGTTGTTTTTTCTTTTCTAGTTTGAGTTACACAGTAAGATGCATTGTTTCTTTTCCTATTTAGAAGATGGTATATCAGATCATTGAAGAAAACTATTCATGAACCAATTTTTGGCGAGAAGATGATGATTTAAGCTTAACGGCTTACATTGGCTTCAACGATGTTATCGTCTAGTCTGTATTCATGCATGATCCAATCCGATTTTTGGCCATGAGGGGCTCGCCCTTTATAAAACACCAAAGTCTTCCTCATTCCGATCCGCCTGCAGTTGCTATATATCACCTTGTCACGGCCGGTCGCCTTCCAGAACCCGGCTGCCGTGGCTCGGTTCGTGCGGGTCCCAGTGGGGTACTTCTTGTCTTTATGGCTAAAAAAGTACCAATCATTCTGAGGAGTGGTTCCAATTTTGCACCTCTCTGCAGGAGCCCCGGAGAACATATCAGTTAATTAAACATGGTCCGCCAATAATGATTAAAATCTTTGTAATGGAAACATAATTAAATTTACTAAGTAATACCATACCTTGAATATCCCAGGGCTCGAGCTTATTAAGATCAACATCACGAATTACATCTAAATCGATCTTCTCATAGGAAACCTTCTTCCTCAGATAGTACTGCAAGAGCTCCTCTTCTGTGGGATGAAATCGGAATCCGGGAGGGACTTGGGATTGTCCATTTACAGATATGCTCATGTTTTCCGGCATTTGAAAAGACGAAGAAAGAGACCAAAAAGAGAATGGAAACGGGAGATGAGAGAAAAGCAAAAAAAAAAAACTGATGACAAAGCTGGTGTAACAAATGGAGTATGTAGACTAGTCTTATATATATGTGCTGCAGGACATAAAAGGGCCAAAGATACAAATGAGAAAAAGCTTCGAGTGTGTGTTTGATGATGGGCACAGGGCTTAATAAGGCTTTTGATGAGGAAGTGGGGTTTAGTTTTACTATGCCTCGAGAAGACCCAGCTACCAACATGGATAGAGAAACGACACTGTTTAGGAAAAAAATTCCGAAGTGGGGTCCAATTGTGGGTATCGAAAAGGGGGCAGGGACCCAGATGGACGTTGTGTGCAACAAGAGTGCGGGGGGCATGCCCCCATCAAAACTGTGACCCTCGACCTTAAAATCTCCACGGAAAACCACCTCTTAAACAACCCATTGATGAGCTGATGCATTTCTCCCTTCTCTTTCTCTCCCTCGGCTCCTGCAACCACCCCCAACAAGAAAGAGATGATGGGGTAGAGGCATTTAATTTGAAGGGGGTGGGGAAAGAGTAAAAAAGAATGATGGAGAGTACTGGTGGACACACTCTCTCCATATATCAGTTGTTAGCCTTTTTCTTGAAAAACCCCTGGAGGGATTATAATTTCATGGGTGATTGGCAACTTCAGTTGCATTTACTTCCCCTTCATGATTATTGTGTCTTCTTCTTCATCACCTTTTGTTTCCATCTCTTTTGGATTTTCTTTTTCTTTCTTTTTTTTGTTCATGCTAGCATGTATAAATGTGAAAGGCTGATGCTTGTCTCTAGCTATTTTCCTTTTGGATCCACTGGCTTAGCTAGTAGTAAATAGTAATGTCAATATCTCTCTCTTTGAGAGATTTTCTACTTTTTAATGGTCAATATGATAAATGTTGGTCCTTACGTGTGAACACTTTTTGGTTGATATGAGTGAATCATCCTTTTTCACAGAAAAAAAATCAAATTACTTTCCTTTGGTGCTTACGCGTATATACGTGCAGCCTTACAACATCACTTCAATTTTATTTTATTTTCCCAGGGGATGTTTAATGCTTAAATGTTGATTAATTATGGCGAAACTACCTGTAATTAGTCTTCTTCTTCCTATTGTTAAGTGTTATTCAACCTGAGAACTTTTCAGTAGTTTGCCCATTCTAGTATGTATGGTTTTTGTTCTCGTGAAATTAACGGCAGAAGTTATAAATCATTCCCTTTGATTTTGTTTGCATTAACCCTCCTTTTATGTTTACAAGAAACAGAATACTGACCCAATTACCTTTTGAGTAGTATTAATTCACATAAATTTCACATTCCCCTCTCGCCAGTTATATCTTAGACTTTAATTCTTCAATATATATATATATATATATATTAAAATTCATAATTTTAATAAAAAAAATTTTGAGCATAATTTTTTAAAAAATCTTTAAACTATTTAAAAAAATTTTAAATAATTTTTATTTTTCCATTTGCTTCAATTAAACTCTATATTTTTATTTTTTATCAAATAAGCTTTCATAAATAATGGTTGACCTTGATCAAAAGGTTTTTTGTTTTTCTTATGTCACGTTATGCTGATGTGAAGAGTTAAAAATATTATGTGATTATTTTATCATATCATATCAATACAAGTCATGTCGTTATTTACTATAACATATCAATATATCACGTGATATAAAATGACAAGTAACATTTTGAATAATAATAATTAATTAAACATTAGTTATAAAAACTTTTTATAAGATCTTTTTTATAGATAAGCTGTTTGATAAAACTACTTATATAAACTTTAATTATGATTAAAATAACTATAAAGGGTATTTAATAAATCAGGAGAAAAAATTAAATCTAATAAAAAATTAGTGTGAAAAAAATGTAATTTTCCTTTTAATATTATGAATTGCTGAAAAATAAAAGAAAAATATAAAAAAATATTTGTTGTTATTTTTTAAATATTGGCTTGAAATTTATAACTTTTGAAACTGAATAAAATTAATGTTACATACAAGAAAGAAAACTCAAGGTGATATTAATATGGATCCAACTGCATCAAGAAAATCATGTTTAGCCATTAATTTGGCAACTCATTTTCCTATTGAAATCATCAACACTGATTCCATATAAGTCTATCAAGGTCTTCATGTCTCCACCAACAAAATTCCTCTCCATAAACAAAAAGATTTTGGCTTTTATATTTTCTTCTCATTTTTCAATGGGTTATTTATTTTGTCAAAAAAGGGATGCATTATCTGTTGGGTACTGTTAACTCAAATATGGAATTCACTGCTAAGAAGTTCAAGGATTGGGCAATTCTTGTTGCCGAAGGAATTACAGTTTATTTCAATTTTCTTGTAGTGCAGCCTATTATTACACTTAAAAAAAATTCTTTAAAACCAAATTAAACAAATAAGTACAAATATTGACTTTTCAATTTTTATTTAATTTATCTCAACAATTATTGACTTATTTGACTAATTATTTTAATAATAATCAACAAATATTATATACACCAAAAAGAAGTTAAGAATAAATAAACATCATATAATTGTCATATCAAATAATAAATTGAGAAATATCAAACAATAAAGACAGTTTTCAAAGCAAAAAAAAAAACCTTAGAAAATAAAATGAAAAACAAAATCAGAAGGAAAAGAAGAAATAATACCTGAATGAAATTTTGAATTTTGAGTTTTTTTTTCTCTTAATTTTTGTAAAAATAAAAAAACACTAGAAGGATGATTTGCAAAATGGAGGGAAGAAGAGGGAGATCGATAAAAGAGAAAGAGGAGGTATTTTTTTAGAGAAAATCTTTAAAAAAAAACAACTCTCTTAAAAAACTAACATGTTTTTTTTTAAAAAAAATAAAGATTTGGAGTTTTTTTAAAACTCCTTTTTTTTTTGAAATTTTGTTATTTTAAAAAATATTTTTTAAAAAAGTTTTTCACAAAATATTGTTTAATTTAATTTCTATTTTTAAAAAGTAAATAAGTTAAAAATAAACTAAGCTACACAGACACTTAAAAACAAACAAATTAAAAAAAATAAACGTCAAAAGAATTGTAAACATCTAGAATGAAAGCAAAAGCATCGATGGTTACCTAAACCCGCATTGCTGTCACGTTCCCATTTTCCGTTTTTGTGTTTTTTTATTGGGTTCAAATCTTGATTAATCAATAAACCAATTAAGTATCGGCTTTTGCTAAGAATCCGCTGGACGATTGGCCCAACCAACATATAAAGACTAAGAAAAGAAAATGTTAAAAGAGTGCACCATTGTAAGAAGTTTGTCAAATTAGCATCTGATGGACCACTTAGATCTTGATAAAAATATTCAATCAGATGACATGATTGGTTAAGATTACATTCCTTTATTTTATTTTATTTTGGGCATATAGATCCATAAAATTATTAAATATAGCCACGTTTGGATATACTTGCACATACAAGAATTATACAAACAAATGCCTTGCAGAAACAAAATTTTGGAAAGTAACACTTCATCGTTCCAGTATGACGTGACAGACAAATTTGGACCACTTGTTACGTGGCATTACCGGTTTGGCCTAATTATGTATTTATTTGCAATTTTTTTTAATTTGAATTACCGTGTTTAACTATATTTTATTCTATTAATCATGAAAATTTTAATATTCAATATATATCTTGTGATATTAGTGTGGATTAATGGATTTTTATCTTACATATCGGTATTAGAAATTTTTTAATTTCACAAATCAAGTTAGAGGGTTGACATGCATCCGATCATTTGATTGATTGGTTGATGCATGTTTTCTTGTCTAAAGAGTAAGGCTTAATTATATAAAAAAAAAGTTAGAGGGTTGATATATAGTATTAAAATATATTTATTATAATAAATAAATAAATAAATTATTAAATAAATATTTAATAATTATTTAGCTTTTTTAAAGTTAAAAAATGTTATCGTTAATGTACAAAATAATAATTCATTGTTATTTTATTTGTTAAATAAAAGGGTAAAGGTTAAAATCTAAAAAAAGTTATTAATTGATTTAAGGATTTGTCGTCTATAGTCCACAAAATAATTTATTATAAATACATAAAGACAATTTTTTTTTTCAAAAAAGAAGATAAGAACCCTACTCTTTAGCTAAAGATTATACACCAATCAATGAGTCAAAATGTTCAAATATAAAAAACAAAATCTTTAATAAAAGACGTAATTGTCTATGTAAATAGTCTTTGACAATGTTGAGTGAATGCATGAGTCCTCTAATCAATGAATTTGATTTGATTTGACTTAAATTAAAAAATATTTTAAATCATTAAGTAGATTGATTTCCTTATAAATTTTCAATTTACTTTTAAAATATAATATATGTAAGATAATAATTAATATAATAATTATCTAACAAATAAATAAATAATAAAATTAGTTTATAAGAATTTATGTTTGAACATGAAAATTATATATAATCAATTATATATATTTGTTAGAAAAAATTGTAAAAAATAACTTTCTTTTTAAGCCCATTTTAGAAATAGCCATCCATATATATGTTTTTACCCAATTGTAATTATGAGATGATAAAAATATCCTTAAAACCATTTCAGACAAATTAAATGCTCACAAATTTTTTCTCACCATTCTTCTGCTGTGCTACCTATGCTTTGCTTCTCATTTTTCTCTTTCGTTATCTAGCTCTTTTTAATTTTACCACCATCACCATCTTTTTTTGTTGATCTCTCATCATTTAACTATATCGTGATCAATCTACAAACTAAAGAGCATAATATGAAACATAACAATATATTCTTGGATATTGGTTTATATTCATAAAACTCTCTCTTTGTCTATATCTTGTCATCTCATCATTAATCTACGTATCAAAAGGTATGACATAATTAGTAACAATAGCTTTTTGGATTTATTGGTATTAAGTTTTTCAATGATTCAAATTTGGTATAACAAGCCTTAGGGTGTAACAAAGTAATTTATACTTTGGCATGTAATATCAAAAGGAATAAAGAAGTTTTGGCATGTAATATATGGTGCTAAAGCTTTAGCCTTAACGTGTAACATCTAGTGTTGAAGCTTTGATCTTAACATGTAACATTTAATACTGAATCTTTGACCTTGACATATAAGGTTTGTTGTTGT